GTTACGACACCCACGGGGGAGTAAGTGGTCCATTCTATGCCGGGACCGCCAGCAAACTCTTTAGGAATATGTCCCCTATGGTTGATGATTTAAAGAGCAATTTGCTTTTTTTAATCATCAATCTTAAAGTACACATAATTAGTGCTTACATACTAGACATGACACGTTCACATTCATATATATGGTAAAGACACGGTCATTAACATTGTCAATTTACAATTTCCTCCCGCCGTCATTATAACCTGATTGTAATGTTGGTTTCTGCGTAACTTATTTACTTTTCCTTTAATGACACTAAGGCCTTATACACACGTGTCGACTTATTCGCGACTCGTGTATGATACGCGTCTTTTGAAAGTTCACCAGCTGGAGGTAAATAAGTAAATTCTGCACATGTGTCGTATTTAATTTGTAATAATAAAAATTGTGTTCCACAATACTTACTGTTCGACTTGATCCATTGAAACTGCGTTTTTTTTATACGACTTAGATAGGCAAACAAGCTGACGGCCCACCTGATGGAAAGTGATAACCGTCGCCTATAGACATGAGCAGTACCATGGACATAACAGTACACACACATACTGCTTCGCCCATGATAACCCCCATGCGTTGCCATTCCTGAGGACTCAGGTGTTATTCCTCTGTACCCTGTAAATTCACGCCATATCCCACCCTTCAAAGTGAACCACGGCCATGCAAACACAACTGCTTTACGGTTAAAACACGAATGGGACAGAGGTATCCCAAGCAAACGACTTTTGTACAAAGTCTGGTATCAAAAAAAAGATGGTAGTTGAATGTTTAAAAGACCGTGTATGGTCGACTACCGCCGAGCACGTTTGTCATTTAAGTAGTGGTCTCTTTATTGCTAACATTTTTTTTTTATTTTATTTTATTTGACAAAAAACATAAAGTTACATACACAAGATACAATGGGCCCCACACTAGGCGAACCTGTATCGTGGGCACCCGACAAAGATTAACAAATCACAAATGTGTTTCAATTGGATTGCAACTCAACTAATATGTATTTGATATTTTTGTGCATTACATGTTTTTGTATTTTATGCACGAATATACTCTGTTATGTCCATGACACTGCTTATGTCTATAGGCGACGATTACCACTTTCCATCAGGTGGGCCGTCAGCTTGTTAACCATTCTAAGTTGTATATATATATAAAAGAAAGACATACTAATAATTGCAATATTATTACAATATAAAAATCATATTTCAACAATTACTTTACTAGAGCACTGGTCTCAGCGTGGCATAAAAGGTACAGGTTCAAGCCCCGTTCGCTTCGAAACTGTACCAGTTTTTAGTTTCTCTTCTCATTTATCGCCTCATACAATATCTTAGAGATCAAAACTTGAAGAAAAATCGACTTAAAAAGAAAGAATTATTTTTATTTTTCTTTATAAAGTTTGTTTATTTTTCCCTTTTTAATGTAAATAATACGTAAATAGTAAGTAAAAAACTACTTTATATAATACAATCAAACTGTAATTATATAATAATTTGAAAGAAATTATACCTACTCTATTTCTTAACCGTTAAGGAATTTTACCTTCCATCATCAGCTCAGCAAGCAGTCAGATTAGTGCCAACCACCAGATGCAAACATCTGAACAAGTTTTAAAAAGGCATGAAACACCATATATGTGTCTATAAAACTAGAGGGGACCATCTCAGGAAAATAATCTTTCGAATAAAAAAAAATGTATTTTTAAAATCACCCCATATTTGACGGAGAAGTCAGTGTACATAAAAATAGGTATACAGTAGAACATAGAAACTCCTTTTTCCAAATCGGTTAAAAAGGAGTTTAACCCATAATATCTACTCTTATTTCTTCACCACACATATGATAAGTATGTACAAGTACAGAGCAAATAATCATTCTAGTAAAAGTACAAACAATAAAAGAGAATAATAGATCAACATAGATTAATTGTCCCTGTTTATTTCTCAAGATTAATAACTTTTTCTTTTTCTGAGTCAAAAAAAAATATAGAACGTAATCTCTATGGTACCGTGAGACACGCATAAAATTAAACACTTTAATATGTGTGAGTATGCAAATTGTTACGTGACCACTTTTTTAACAGAAAAAAGTAAAAAAAAAACAATAGTTGAACGGCGTGGTCGATACACCCTTTCGCTCTAGACCCAGAAACTGAATTTGCATACGGCTGCGGCTATTTTTTTTTTAAACAAAAAGATTATGTAAATCTGTTTTTTGGACACTAGTTTCGCGAGAATATTTTTTTTTTTTTTATTTATATGAAGTGTTGGGTAAGGCAGAGTAAAAAAGTGATTGAGAATAAGTTCTCATGAAGTTTTTTTTTTATGTTTATTATTTTAGTTTTTTATAGTACACTACTCTACCCTATCCCACGTAATTGTCTCTATTATTTTTTATAAGAATATGTTTTTCACACACATCTTTCATTTAAAAATTAATAATAGATAATAAATTAATAAGTCAATACAAAATACCTATGGGATATACGTTACAAGCACTAAATTTTTGTTTTTATAATTTAATTAAATAAAAAAAAATTTTTGTGTAAATTATTACACAAAAATTTTTTTATTTCAGCCGTTAACTGTCCACTGCTGGACATAAGCTTTTCCTATAAGGGGAATTTTAACAGTAGTTGGCACGCTTGGCAGGTGGGTTGGCAACCGCAGTTAGGCTTTTTAAGATGTTTTATGAGGGACGTTGCTGTCCATTCCTCGCCCTCTCTTATTCGCCTCTTACGACACTCACGGGACAGGTAGGGGTGACCCATTCTGTGCCCCACACACGGCGTTTGTATACATATCAAAATATAAATAATAATAATATTTTATATAAAATTAGTATCTAAGATTTTTACAACAGTGGTATATATGTATATAAAGTTTATATATTTATATTAATATTATGTTACTTAATGCAATTTAGAATGGTAAACAAGTTAACGGTCCACCTGACGGAAAGTTGAAACTGTCGCTTATAGAACAAAAAAAAAAGTAAAAAATAAATAATAAAAATGCTATACAATTAATAAAACACCTGTTTAAACTATTAGAATGTTTTATCACTGTCTTTTAAATTGAGAAATTGTTGCAATAGAAAAGGACAAAACACTTGAATAATTAAAATAAGCTTATAAGAGGTTTGTTGTTTTTAATAAATTGACGCTTGTTTTAAAAATTTATAAATTTATCAATAAATAACAAAATACAGAAAACTATCACTCATGACTTTGCTTGCTTAGATTAACTTAAAAAAAAAATCTCTGACCTAGGTATTAATAATCTAGGATGTGGTTTATCTGTGCAGCAAATAACATTTAAATAAATTCAGCCGTTTAAGCGTATAATAATAGTATATTTTTAATAGTCCTTGTTACTTATATAATTTCAGTGTCCTTGTTACCTATATAATACTTATGTATTATTATTTTAATTATGTATATTACGTTTTGTTAAAGTTAAAACATTACAAGTTTTTAATAATAATAACAGTGTATTAGAAAACATGACAAAAATATCACACACAAATATATAGGTAATACCCAAAAACATACTTAATTCCATTTCTATATACCAGAATGTTTTTCTGACACTTTTTTTTTTCATGTAACGTTTTTGTACCTGCGTTAGGGGTGGGACTAGACCCCACCCTATTTTTTTTTCTACGCAAAACCCAATGGTCTCTAGACATTAGGGTGGCAACATTTTTTGTGTGCTAGCAACACGGATCAATATTTTTCCCGCGCGGCACTGCATTGGCGGGCTTACCCTTTTTTTTTTAACAAAAGAACCCCTTTACATAAAGCGTTATTCATCTATTCATTCCTTATAGTTCTGTAACGGTCGATTCTTTTCGGTAATAGCGGGGGTTGTTAAAATAGGGTCGTTTTTTGTGCATCCTCATCACGCAATGTGGATGCATCGAAATCGTTTGGGGCACGCGAATTTCTGGCTTATGAGAAATTTAGATTTGTTTCACGCTTACTGAATGCAAATTACTATATCTAGGTATTATAGTTTATTATTGAATACTTACCTATGGTGATACAATTTCAATGACTAGATAATATTGTAACAGATCCTTAGACTATTTCGAAAGTGAAAAAAGTGTTGTCCTCCTTTCTCCTACTTGCTGTGCCCAACAGGGTCCATAATTGAAATGTTATGTATTTTTTTTATATTACTAATTGTAATTTAATGTTGGTCTTATTCAATCTATATTAGCTGAACCTAAACCAAAAATTTTTGAACATCTCTGTAAACTATTGATGCCCATTAATTCTTCTCTTTCCGTGACTTGGGAAAGTAGATAAAGCTTTATTTGAGAAATCAGTTGAGAGTAAGCTTTAAAATAATAATAATAAAAAAAAAATTTTTGCTAACACCTTATCTGTTTAAAATTGTACTTTTTTATCTTCATACTAGTCTAAGAACTAGTCACAGAAGGACAAATATATTCAGAGAGAATTGTATATTTTTATTAGAACAATGAAGGACAAGACAAAAGGTAATGTAGAACAGTAATTTTAAAATTATGTCAAAGTCTATAATTATATCAAAATATTTCCAGACATTATCAACAGCGTTGTTGTCTGTTATTTATTTATTAACTTTTTTTGTACCATTTAAAGTATTTTTTATGTACAACTTAGAATGGCAAACAAGCTGACGGCCTACCTGATGGAAAGTGGTAATCGTCGCATATAGACATGAACAGTACCATGGACATAACAGAGTATACTGTTTCGCCCATGATACTTCTTATGCGTTACCATTCCTGAGGACTCAGATGTTATTCCTTTGTGCCTTGTAAATTCACTGCCATATCCCACCCTTCAAACCAAGACACAGCCATGCAAAGATAACTACTTCGCGGTAGAAACACGAATGGGACAGAGGTGCCTAAGCAAACGACTTTTGTACAAAGTCTTCCAGTATCATAAATAAATAAATATTTCTTTATTACAGTGGTGGTGACATCAGCCCCTGCAAACGAGGCTGAGCTGCAACTGTACAGAGTAATGCAGAGGGCCAGTCTGCTCGCCTACTACGACACACTTCTCGAAATGGGTACTCAACCGTCATTATTTTCCCGCGAAATTTTATGTCATAGTAGAATTAGAAGTTGGTTAGGAAGGGATTGTGGAAACACGGTGTCTTTAGGACGGTAATATAATTATAAAAAAAAGTATATAAAGCAAAAATAAGAAAAAAAAAATAACAATGAACAAAACAAAATCTGACAGTTATTTCAAGTTACAAAAGCAACACTAGACATCTGTGAAAACGTAATATAAAAATAAGCGGACATAGAGATAGACAAGGCACTCCTTGTCTATTACTAAGTACAATTTTTTTTTTAATTAAATAATTGTCTTTCGTATAATTTCAATCTGACGGCGACAGTCAACCATACAGCGCGCCTGATATGCGGCTAGCATCCTATCTGGATTGTGTGGAGTGACCTAACCTGAATAATTCATTAGTTCGAGTCATTATTCTAAATATATTCTGATGATGTTAAAATATCATACGAGCAGATCACTTTACATCATTCATCATTATTGCATTATTATTCATGGTAACGTCATTATAACAATTATAAACTTTAAATAAGTCTTATTTATAACATTAGGTAATTGTTAATTTGTTTACAAACTTGTTCCTGTCATTTATATTCTTGGTAAAGTACATGAACACAATCTGAGTGGTTTATTTTAGGTTTGATTCAGTGAAAGCAATGTAGATTCTGTTTAATGATACATACATACATATCTATCTATTTACCAGAGAGAGAATTTGTACAAAAGTCGATTGCTTAGGTACCTCTGTCCCATTCGTGTTTCAACCGTGAAGCAGTTGTGATTGCATGACTGTGTTTCGGTTTGAAGGGTGGGATATGGCGTGAATTTACTGGGTACAGAGGAATAACACCTGAGTCCTCAGAAATGGCAACGCATGAGGGGTATCATGGGCGAAACAGTATACTCTGTTATGTGCATGGTACTGCTCATGTCTATAGGCGACGGTTACCACTTTACATCAGGTGGACCGTCAGCTTGTTTGCCATTCTAAGATGTATAAAAAAATAATATCTACATACGGAAATAAATTTTCTGATAATCGTGCCTAAAACAAAGTTTTTTTTTTTAAATGTAGTAAATAGATAATAGATATATAATTTTATTTTGATATAGAATCACCTGAGATACACGCAAATTAATACAATTTTTACTATTGAATAAATGAATTAAAATTAAAAATAAAATAACCTATGCTTAATTCACAGCAACATTTAGATAAATAACTCGTAAATTAAAAAAGTATAAAACTTGATCACATGTCAAGAGTAGTCATGCGCAGTTATTTTTTAATACCTCATCTCCAAACAACAATTCATTTCATAGGAACGCAAGAAAAAACACTTTCTCATCGCGGCGCGACGACCAAAAAATACATTTCCATAAGCTAAAAAACCTCACAGACATCGCGATGCAAATTTACTTTTTTATAACTTTTTTTTTCTTTCTGAATTCCCGCCAATTACCCACTCCAAGGAAGGGCTTGGTCGGCCCGCTTGTCTTTTGTTTTTTTTTTATAGCCCTTTCGCAAAATGGTCACGTAAGACATTTGCATATTCTGCTTAAATTAAAATCGACTAGAACGTAATTTTTTTTATTGAATCACACGTTTTTATGACGGAACAATGATAAGCAGCCGTCCCGAGCAATTTTGCATATTAATGTTATTAAATTGGATTAGGTTTATTATCTTTGGGAAAAATTTACCTTCTTAATTTTTTTATTCCATATACGAGTTTAGTTAACAATACTGGAGGTTTATTTTAATTTATTATTGTTTAAAATGTTACCATTGAAATAAAATTTGCACTTTTTTTAATGGAATAATGTGTAAAACTAAGAGTACTTATTATAACCATAATTGTTTATTTATGTATTTATCATACTTATTTTGAAAATTACAATGCTAATGGTAAACCATATCATCATCATTATCATATCAGCCTCTGTCCCCTGCTGAACATAAGTCTCCCCTTGGGGGGTTTTGCCAGTAGATGCCACGTTTGGCAGGCGGATTGGCAACCGCAAAAGAGGAACACTGCCCATCCCTCGCCCTCCCTTAGCTGGTTCTTACGACATCCACAGGAAAGGAAGGGGTGGCCTATTCTATACCGGGACCACACGGCCAGACCATATGTGACTTAGGTAAAACACAACCAATTTTTAACTATATCTATGTTTATTCAAATAAATTGTTAATTGACTGATTGATTAACATCATCATATCAGCCGTTAACTGCCCACTGTTGGACATAAGCCTTCCCCATAAGGGGAGTTTTGTTAGTAGTTGCCACGATTGACAAATGGGTTGGCAACCGCAGTTAGACTTTTAGAGATGTTTTAAGAGGGACGCTGTTGCGTATCCCTCTTCCATTAAATTCTTTTAGTCGCCTCTTACAACATCTACGAGAAAGGAAGGGGTGGTCTATCCTTTGTCGGGTTACCTTTAAATAGTAATTAATTTTTTTTTGTAATAATTCCAGGGGGTGATGACGTACAGCAGCTCTGTGACGCTGGAGAGGAGGAATTCCTAGAAATAATGGCACTAGTCGGCATGGCTTCCAAACCCCTCCATGTGCGACGGCTCCAAAAAGCACTTCAAGAGTGGGTCACCAACCCAGCACTATTTCAAATCCCCATAGTACCTAACCTTTGTCCTACTGAAAACCCATTCATGCAATGTAACCAAAGATTATTAAATATGCCCCCTACAATCCCATCCGTCTTGCCACGCACTGTAGCGTCCCCGGAAAATAACAGGCCAATGTATAGTCCATCGCCTGGAGCTCCAGAGAACAGTTGTGGTTCTAACGCATCAGCACCCAACGCAAGCCCAGTCCATCAAACAACCACTTTCACCAAAATTGTCCTACCGTCCTCCCCTGCGCCAGCTACCCCAGTCACATCAACAGCTTCTAGATCATTCTCACCGCAAAGTGCCTGTCCACCAGCCTCAGCTGGGTCTAGTCCGAGTTCTGTGACGTCACCGGTCCAGCTCACGCCAGTACTTCTAGATGTTCACGTACAAAAGTTAGCGGTAGCTGCGGAGAAATTGAGTAAACATTTACCACAGTTGGAACCAAAGCCGCAAAACACGAAAAAGAAGATGTGCAAAGATCTGGAACTGGTGATGATGATGCCTGAATCGGATCCACGGAGGATGGAGGAGATTAGGAAATACGCAGCGATATACGGCAGGTTTGACTGTAAAAGAAAACCCGAGAAGCCGTTGACGTTACATGAGGTGAGAATTACATTTTTAAGAATTTTTTTCAACCGACTTCAAAAAGGAGGTTCTCAATACGATTATGTTTTTTTTATGTTTGTTACCTCATAACTCCGCAGTCGTAGTCCGATTTGGAAAGTTCTTTTTTATCTGAAAAGATATACTTGTGTACTTCTTCTTCTTCTGTACTTTTTGCTTGTTCTTCTCAGCTAAAATTGCACTCCGAACTGGGCGGTAGTTTTATAAAAAAACGCTAACAATGGATATTAATATCCCACTTAAGAATAATGGCTTTCGTCCCAGTGTTTATCTATACTTTTTTTTTCAATGGATGATAACGGAATAGTGACCCCGGCTGCGCTAACGGTAGGTATACACTGGCAGAGCACCAGTGAGGGGTGATAAGTGAGGATGAAAGGGCAGGTCAGTTAGCCCATCGTAATAAATACACCTGGAATTCAGCACGATAGTTTTTCAGGAGTGAGCTCGTGGAGGTCGACCTGATAGGGTATATTGCTAGCAATGGGACTGATAGTCCGCATTACTAACAACCCCTTCACATCCCCCCGCCCGTTTGTCTGTAATGAGCCGTTGCGTGCACCAGGTGCCGCTTCTCCCCCCACAGTTTCTGTACTGTGAGCCGTTGCGTTCACTAGATGCCGCTCCTCCCCCCGCAGTTTGTTTGTACTATGAGCCGATGCGTGCACCAGGTGCCGCTTCTCCCCCCACAATTTGTCTGTACTATGAGCCGATGCGTGCACCAGGTGCTGCTTCTCCCCCCATCGTTCTGTACTGTGAGCCGTTGCGTTCAGTAGATGCCGCTCCTCCCCCCGCAGTTTGTGTGTAGTGTGAGCGGTTGCGTGCAGCAGGCGCCTGCCCCACAGTAGTGTGCGCTGTGCCCAGGTGCTGGTGAACGAGGCGGCGGCGCAGCTGTGCGGGCGCGTGCCGGCGCTGCTCACGCGCCGCGACGAGCTGTTCCCGCTCGCGCGCCAGCTCGTGCGCCGCGCCGGCCTGCACTACTCCAAGCACGGGTACGGCCTCCTATTCCTTACAAACACTACGGCTGACCCATATATACCAATATCTATATATCGCAGTTACAATCTCGATATGTTAGTCCAATAAATACTACCAGAGGGAGACTTAGTACAAAAGTCGATTGCTTGGCTACCTCTGTTCCATTCGTGTTTCTACCGTGAAGCAGTTGTGTTTGCATGGCTGTGTTTCGGTTTGAAGGGTGGCGGATATGGCGTGAATTTACTGGGTGCAGAGGAATAACACCTGAGTCCTCAGGAATGGCAACGCATGGGAGGTATCATGGGCGAAACAGTATGCTCTGTTATGTCCATGGTACTGCTCACGTCTATAGGCGACGGTTACCATTTTCCATCAGGTGAGCCGTCAGCTTGTTTGCCATTCTAAGTAGTATAAAAAAAAAATTGTATATTATATATCGGTTATACATATAGCGATATCTATAAATCGTAGATATTATACCTATATATTAGCCCAATAAAGAATATATCGGTTATTCAATATATATTTTAAATACACAATCGGGACATAACACAACTGCTTATTACTTACACTATTTTTTGTTTATTGGTAATTTTTTTTTTATTAATATGTGTTTTAATGTGAATTTAAGCACTGAATAAATATTTTTTTCTATATATTTTTACTACACCTGAAGACTACGCATGAGTATTCTTTATTTACATTGTCCAATATGGAGAATAAAATAGATGAAGCCATGAGATATTTTCTGCCACGAATGCTCAGTTTATGAGCTCCCTGTCAAGGTTTTGCCATTCCTGAGGACCTGTCTCTATATCCTATAATATCACTATCATATTATTTCACACCCTTCAAACCGAAACAGAACCTTGCAAACACAACTGCTTAGCGGCAAAAACAAGAATGGGACAGAAGTGCCGAAGCAAAACGACTTTGTAAAAAGTCCATTTCTGGAAATTCGAAAATATAGAAATTGAATATTTGTTGCAGACTACCTCCCTCGGCGTCTGTGTGCGAGGACCGCGACCGTGATGACGAGGAGACGCCGAGCAAACGACCGCGCCAGGTTGCGCCTACTTCCCACGTAGACCTCACAGTCTAGACTATCACGTAGACCCTGCATCTGTACTAACATGTAGACCTCAGACTTTACCCTTCTGCACTATCCTACCTTTGTATGCCAATCTAACACCTAGTACTGGGGAAAGGATTGCTAGTAATGAGGACTCATCATGATTGATCAATACTGGATCCATCACAATGAGCCAACTGAATTGACTCCACGTTACTATCCCTCTAGAGCAGCCTTTCCCAAATTGAGCAATAACGTCCCCTTGTGAGCGCTGCAGGCCTAAAGGGCGGTAAGAGATCCAGAAAAAAATGGGGGCGTTGTGTAGAGGCTTGGGGGTGATTTGTTGATCTTGAAGTAATAGTGGTTTTTAAGTAGGTGAAAAAATGGGGGCGCTGAAAAATAATTTATTCTCAAAGTGGGCAGTAGACAAAATAAGTTTAGGAACCCCTCTAGCTCTAGAGTAAACGGATAGCGCTGACGAAACTATCATCCCATTTTTACCATTCAGAAAATTTTGTTTCTCGATATAAATATACTTCATCTTCTTCATCATATCAGCCATTAACTGTCCTCTCCATATGGGGGTATGGCCAGTAGTTGCCACGCTTGGCAAGCTGGTTGGCAACCGCAGTTAAGCTTTGGCGATGTTTTAAGAAGCTGCTGCCCATCCTTCTACTATTAGGTTTCTTTAATCGTCTCTTACGACACTTAAGAGAAAGAAAGGGGTGGCCAATTCAATACTGGGACCACACAGCATAAATGTACTTACCCTGATTAAAAACAGGAGTTTATGTTCCACCATCGAAGTTACAATAACATCTGTAAATAAATGTAACAATAAATGTAAAAATATTTAATAATAAAAACTACATAAATCGTTAAATGATAAAACATAAAACATAAATAAACAATGAAGTAAACATAACTTGAAATCACGACGTATAAGGCACATACATATCTCATTAGGTCGTGTATATGGCTCGGATTTTTTGAGGACGCATTGGTTTTCCAGATAAAAATAAAAACATTAAAAAGTACTCACGTTTTGACTTATTGGGACGCGTTTTTTGAACGTCATCGTTTACTTGACATCCCACTGCTGGGCTCAGGGCCTCTCTCTATAATAGGAGAATACCTATAATAACCTTCTGTTTCCACGACGGTTCCGTATCGAGTTTTATATCGATTTGTAATTTTGTTATACCGATGTCTTCTGCTTAGTTTCTTACGTGTTTTTCTGCGAAATTTTGTATATGAAATGGATTGGCGATGCATAGTACCTAATCTTATTCCGTGATCACAAGGAGTTAATTGTAGGCTTGAATGGTCTCAGTTACGTAGACCACATAGGGCATTTAGATTGATTACTTATAACACTACAAACTGAGATTTCTTCGCGACTTTCATTAATATCTCTATTGTTACAGTAACGCCGTTTACCATCAGACAGGCCGTATGCTTGTTTGCCAGCAAAGTAGTATAAAAAAATATCAAAATTATAGTAAAACTAACTGACCCCGCAAACATTGTTTTACCACTTATTGCGAAATATAAAAATCGCGATTAAAATACATGGGTTGATCGTAAAACGATGAAAATTTTAAGTTGTATGTATTTTTCAATGCTAAATTATAATAAAATAAAATTAAAAAAAATGTCAAAAAAATAAAAAAATATATTTTGAGGTGGGTCACCCTTAACATTGACGGGTATGAAAAATAGATGTTGGCCGATTCTCAGACCTACCCAATATGCACATAAAATTTCATAAAAATCGGTAAAGCAGTTTCGGAGGAGTTTGGTAACAAACACCGTGACACGAGAATTTTATATATAAGATTTACCCTTATATTCTTGAATAAGAAGATTTGACTCAAATCGAATCGGATTGGATGTAAGAAAAAAATAATTAATCATTGTAAATAAGAACATTTATCTTATTGCATTATTTGTCAAATTTGAAAATAAAAATTATCACGCAATTAAAACAAAAGCGTGTTGCAATAAAGATTATCCTATACTAGCTTTTACCCGCGAGTTCGTTCGCGTGACCGGGATATGTTCACTGAATATAGGAGCGGTACGGTATTCATGCCTGACCAATAAGGATTATTCTAATATGATAATGTAAATTATGCTATTGGAATAGATATCAGCCATTCAAACAAGAAAATCTATAATAAATATCATGAACGTGTACCTATTAGCCCATATATTTTCTATATAATATATATATACTACATAACATATCATATTAGAATGAATTTAGAATTCTAATAAGAAAATCTTAACAGTAATAAGACAAAGGATATTGTAATTTTTTTTTATGCACAATAATATAAAACCAGGGGGAAAGGGATTGTTAGTAATGGAGACTGAGAATCCTATTGCTAGCAGTATACCCAATCAGGTCGACCTTCTCGCGGTTCTCCCTGGAAACTATCATGGTTAATTCCTGATGAAACCTGACGAAACAGGCCAGTTAGCCCATCATGATGGGCTAACTGGCCTGTTTTCATTCTCATCTATCACCCTTCACTGGTGCTCTGCCGGCGTATCCCGTTAGCGCAGGCGGGGTTACCATACCATTTACATCCATAAAAAAATATATATAAAACCTAAAATGTCACGTACAATGCAGTTTCAGGAAGCTCAGGCTGTGCAATGAACTCCCTGCCTGTCTTTCTCTAGAGACTACAGTATGGGGTTCTTTAAAAAGGGTATATTAAGGTTTCTTCAGGTCCTGCAACGTGTACGGGACACCTCTAGTGTTGCAGGCGTCCATAGGCTACAGTAACTGCTTACTAGACGCTAGTTTATCACCTTCGCGGTATAAAAACAATCTTAGTTGACGGGACCTAGTATAGTGCCCTTAGATACTCCCTTAAAATTACCCACTAAACTGATTAATTTACAAATATTTTACTTTTTATTGGTGGGATAGGCCGATGTCTTGTATTTACATTTGTTGATATTTCAATAACACTATTATTATTATATTAACACGCACGACTGCCTCTATCGAATGCTTGTCTAAATTTCTTTGCAGTTGCCATATCTGTTGTAGTATTATGTTATTAATATATATGATGTTTAGTTAATTTCAGTTGCATTGGTAAGTAGAAAACTATTATTATTATTTCAGTTTACAGCACAGCATGTTTAGTTAGCATTTTCATCTTTCTCATTAGAAGCTTATTGTTCATCACCTTTCAGTTTTTTAACTTAATATAACTAATTATCAATTAACTATTCTTTAACATTTACAATTTGACTATAACTGAGCTAACTTTTTAAAGTATTGTTAACGAATTCTGATCCAATTTAACTAATTTCAGTTAACGATATTTAAAATCAGTTTCAATATTAACTTCCAAAATATATGGCACATTGAATAACATAAATTAATGTGTATTAGGAAGGCGAAGAAGGCAATGGAGTTCGAGCAAGCCCTGACGCAGCTAGGAGCAACTCCAACCATAGGTATATAACATAATAACATGGTCCAAAACTTTTGTATATTTGTACATTGTTTAGAATTAGTTTAACAAAATAACTGTATAGATATTATATTTAAAATATTACAATAAATATGAAGGGAATTCTTTTTGGTTGTTTGCTTGGTTTTCTTACTTAAACGGCTGAACCGATTTTGATTAAGATTAGTATGAAAACTGAGGAAGGGCTTTACTTACTATAATTGGGGTTGTTTTTATATGTGATTATGTGTCAAAATGGTATTATAGCAAGATCTTCATTTAACTCTTTTTATGTAAGTAACTCTGTTTTTGTTCAATTTTTATGGTTTAATAGTTGCACTTTTGATAAAATTAAGTTTAAAATTTCGTAAAAGTACTTATTTGATTCCCCATAGCGTTGTGGTGTTTTAGCAACATTTCGATATTGCTAATTTGAATGAGTATCTTTCAGTATTATAATCATATATTATATTATGTAGGTTTATATTTATGTATGTATGGTATATGTGTATTAGTATTGTATATTCCAATATATATATATATATATATATATATATATATATATATATATATATATATATATATATATATATATATATAATTGTAAATTATATACATATTTATTATTATCGTTTAGATTTCTGTTTGGCACTGCTACTGCCTACTCACTACTTACTACGTCACTGTGTTACGTTGACTGAAATAAATCTCTTTTAGAGATAAGTTCACCTTTGCTTACATTGTTACTAATTGTTATTTGTATATTCCACCACTATATATATATATATATATATATATATATATATATATATATATATATATATATATATATATATATATATATGTGTGTGTGTGTATGTATATGAAACGTTGCCTGAACGAGATCGCTTTTAGCGATAGAGTCGCCTGCAATAAACATCGATGTTCACCATCAGTTGGTGGGGAGTGAAGGCGGAGAGCGACGACGCTGACTCCAGGTGTTCCTACTCCAGCACCAGCACGCCACCACCGGTACGTGAAGTAATTAAAACTTTGCATGAAAATACCTACTATTATTCAGAACTTAGCAGTGGACAAGAAATAAAAAAATAAAAAATAAAAGAGTATATAAACAAGTTTATTTGAATTTACCAGAGGGAGACTTTGTACAAAAGTCGATTGCTTGGGTACCTCTGTCCCATTCGTGTTTCAACCGTGAAGCAGTTGTGTTTGCATGGCTGTGTTTCGGTTTGAAGGGTGAGATATGGCGTGAATTTACTGAGTACAGAGGAATAACACCCGAGTCCTCAGGAATGGCAACGCATGGGGGGTATCATGGGCGAAACAGTATACTCTGTTATGTCCATGGTACTGCTCATATCTATAGGCGACGGTTACCACTTTCCATCAGGTGGGCCGTCAGCTTGTTTGCCATTCTAAGTTTTATAAAAAAAAAAAAAATCGAGACTTATTTTTATTTTATTCTATTTAAATAGAATACGTAAATAAAAATTAAACAATTATATATGATCAGGTATTTATTATTAGACATTTGACATTTTATGGCAGACTTTGTACAAAACTCGATTGCTTGGATATCTCTGTCCCATTCGTGTTTCAACCGTGAAGCAGTTATGTTTGCATGGCTGTGTTACGGTTTTGTAGGGTGGGATATGGCGTGAATTTACTGGGTACAGAGGAATAACACCTGAGTCCTCAGGAATGGCAACGCATGGGGGGTATCATGGGGGAAACAGTATACTCTGTTATGTCCATGGTACTGCTCATGTCTATAGGCGACGGTTACCACTTTCCATCAGGTGGGCCGTCAGCTTGTTTGCTGCTAATAATAAAAATACTGCTACCTATCCCTCTATCATGAGAGTTCTCTTAGTCGCCTCTTACGACACCCACGGGAAAGGAAGGGGTGGCCTATTCTATGCCGGGACTTACACAGCTACTTCCTTATATTATTCCTTATATGCTTTTTTTATTTTTATTCTTTTGTCTCTTTTGCTGTGTATTACGTGTATGGTTTTTTTTTTATTGTAATTTGTGTGCTGTAAGTAATGCAAATAAATTGTCTATCTATCTATCTATCTATATTTGGCTAATTTACTGGCTGTTATTAACAATCTGTACCAAAAACTATTTAGAAAAGGGGAGCTGAAAGCTCGATATTCGTTGTTTGTTATAATGTATGTGTACTTTCTTATGTTATTACATTATTATTGTTGTATTAATAAGAGTGGTTGTGGCGAAGGAAGCGGAGGAGCCGCGGCCGCAGGTGGTGGCGGCGCGCGGCGACAGCATCATCGCCGTCGCCAACCCCGCGCTGCCGCGGCCCGCGCGCAACCACTCCAACTGACCGCCCGCACTCGCTGACGCCACGCTCGCCACTCATACCACGCTCGCCACTCATACCACGCCCGCCACTCATACCACGCTCGCCACTCATACCACGCCCGCCACTCATACCACGCTCGCCACTCATACCACGCCCGCCACTCATACCACGCTCGCCACTCATACCACGCTTGTCACTTATACCACGCCCGCCACTCATACTACGTTCGCCACTCATACCACGCCCGCCACTCATACCACGCCCGCCACTCATACTACGCCCGCGACTCATACCACGCCCGCCACTCATACCACGCTCGCCACGCATACCACGCTCGCCACCTATACCACTTTCGCCACTCATACCATGCTTACCACTCTGTATTACACGTTATATACAGGTTGAAATAGAAATCGTTAGCATCCGTTCGAGGCAGCGTCCTACGTTTTCAACAAACCTCAGGTTCTTATCTTCCTACCAAGGTGTTTCCTAGAGATTACAGCGTGGTTTCTTCAAAAAAGACGTATTAAGGTTTCTTAAGGGTCGACAATGCGCGTGAGAAATCCCTGTTGTTACAGGCGTTCATATGCAACGGTAACCCTGTTTACCATCATACGGGTCGTATGCTTGTTTACCACCATAGTAAAATAAAAAAAGCAACATGAGTCGAAATATGTCCAATAACTTTGCGCTTTATTCGTATAATACGTGTTCAATTATTGAGTTTGTAAGAGAAACTAGATTTTTTATTCCTCATTTGATGACTATTTTGTCATAATTTATAGCATTAGTAGATTCTAAGTATTTCTGCTCTACCGGTTTGACTTACATGTAATTAAAAATTCGACTAGTTTTGGGATCAATTCGTGATCCTTAATCATAAGCAGCTGCAACGCGAGCGCTATCTTGACTACGCGCCTCAGTCCGCTGAGCGCGAGCTTCAGTACTTTAGTACTATTATGCTGTAGTATTACTAACGATTTTTATTTCATCCCATATATAGTGTGTTTTTAATAAAATATCCTAAACTTGCATGAAATAATTTTAACAAAAAGTGGAGTCGATTCTGAAATATCATTTACTAAAGTTATGTCTAAAATGATAACCTTAATTTAATATTTTAACATCATTTTTATGATAGAAAATGGTGCTTCAGAATCGCCATAACATAAGAAAAACATACTACATATGTCATCATCATGCCAGCCTTTAACTGTCTACTGCTGAACATAAGACTCCCCCTTGGGGGGTATTGCCAGTAATACCACGCTTGGCAGGCGGTTTGACAACCGCTAGACTTTACAGATGTTGAAGGACGCTGCTGTCCATCCCTCGCTCTCCCGTAGTCGCCTTTTACGACATCCACGGGAAAAAAAGGGGTGGCCTATTCTATGCCGGGACCACGCGGCACATTATCCAATTATTATTATGAATATTAAAAATAATAACTAACAGACTGTAAAAAAAAGTATATTATTATATTTTTTTCTATTACGCCTTGACCAGACACAATTTTGATTATTCCTCTCCAACCTACCTTACCAGAGGGAGACTTTGTACAAAAGTCGATTGCTTGAGTACCTCTGTCCCATTCGTGTCTCAACCATGAAGCAGTTGAGTTTGAATGGCTGTGTTTCGGTTTGAAGGGTGGGATATGGCGTGAATTTACTGGATACAGAGGAATATCATCTGAGTCCTCTGGAATAGCAACGCATGGGAGGGCGTGTCATGGACGCAACAGTATACTCTGTTATGTCCATGGTACTGCTAATGTCTATGGGCGACGGTTACCAGTTTCCATCAGGTGGGCCGTCAGCTTGTTTGCCATTCTAAGTTGTATAAAAAAAACCTATGGTTGCCTGGACGAGATCGCTATTTAGAGATAAGGTCGCCAATTGTCGCCTCTTTATCTTGCTTCTATGTAATTAATTATTAATTTTTCTGTGTACATATTGATAATCTTTATAATCTGTATCATTCTTTGAAGGAAACAAAAAGGAGTTTTCATTCATTCATTCATTATAATATTTAATTTACATTTACAAAATATTTACACATCTTCCGTCTCCATAATGTACCGACCAGTAGCCATTGTAAATTTAGGTGTGCGCGTAATATTGTAAAAATATTCTTATAGGAGAGATACAATAAGCTTAAGTTACACTCGTATCTTACAAACTGCTAATATATACTTAGATGCAGTTACAAAAACAATTGTAAATAAAATATATTAAATGACTATGTTTGTTTTTAATTTGTACACTGCATGCGTTTGATTTTTTTATGATTCTTTTATATCTATTAATATTATCGCATTGTTTTTACGAAATAAATTAAATTCACTGAGTATATGATAATACAATGTAAGTAATATATATATTAAATATATTTATGGCGCCAAATATCTACTGCTTTTTCTTCTCTCCTCGACTCAAAGGTTTTCTGGAAGAGATTATTTTAGCGATAAGACCGTCTTTTGTACTTCCTTGTTTTGTATTTTTTAAGTCGTGCAAAAAAGAAAGTAAGTAAATATTATTTAATCTGTGACTATACTCTATGGTTGAATAGCAGATTTACTTATTTCATAATTCTGTTATTTATTCGTGTGTATAAACTGGCAACATCGAATATTTAAGAATCATAAACTGTCAAACGCATTCACTAGCTTTATAATGTGTAAAATATAATTTAATTACTGTAAATAATATACGTGTAAACATATAGATCATAATTTGAACATTGCGAGCCATATTGTATTAAGTTATAATAATAATAATACATAAATACACATTATGTTTCTACATTTTGTTTTATTTATATACTTATTTTTAAAAGACAAACGAGGAGACTTTTTTTAATGGGTGATAATGAAATGGTAATCCCTCTTGCGCTATCGGTATACGCTGGCGGGACACCAGTGAGAGATGGTAGACGACGATGAAAGCAGATCAGTTAGCCCACGATGATGAATTTGACAAGAATTAACCATGATGGTTTCCAGGGGGAACCGCGTGGAGGTCGACCTGAGAGGGTATATTGCTAGCAATGGTGCTATTAGACCTTATTACTAACAATCCCTTTCCCCCCAAACGAGCAGACTGATCTAAAGGTATGTTATGGTAGGTCTAGAAACGCTCGAGGTAAGGCGAAAGTGTAATTTGATGGTGCACTTTTATCGGTTGATCAACGGCAGAATAGACAATCCTGCAGCTCTCAGCCGTTGTTCTTTGTACGCACCCCAACGCTGCATGCGATTGCGTGCTTGTCGACTACTATCGGCACCGCCGCCACGCACATGTACTGCTCAGTTTGCTCCCACTTATCAGGCTATTTCTCTGCTCAATTCTCTGATTGCTCAGCAGCCAGATATTGATATATTTAATGACAAATTAGATATATTTTTTAAATATTGTTTAAACTTTTTATGTTTGTAAAATAAGCCTATGGCTCACTACATGTTTTGGGAGACTGTAAGTGTGGCGAGTAATCTATACTTATAATAAATCTGTAGAAAGATCAATTCTGTACATGAAATATATTTCCAAAATAACTATCGGGGGGTGAATAGTGATCGATACTGATGCCAAAAATGCAATCAGTAAAATTTCTGTCTGTCTGTCTGTCTGTATGTTCGTTATAGAAACAAAAACTACTCGACGGATTTTAACGAAACTTGATACAATTATTCTTCATACTCCTGGGCAGGTTATAGTATACTTTTCATCACACTACGATCAATAGGAGCAGAGCAGTGAAGGGAAATGTGCCTGTACATCAAAACCACTGAACTGCGAGGAAGGACATAGGCTACTTATTTTACGAAAAACGACGGAAACGAGGACGAAGCCGTAGGCAACATTAAGTTTATAAATAAATAAAAGCGCTAAGTTATCGTTACACATGAATTTATTACTTCACTAGCCTTTTGCCTGCTACTTCATACACGTGGATTTTAGAAGTAGGAAAACCATGAAAGCAGACCACTTCTATTTAGCATACCGTGATAAATCATATACCAGATTTTAAATTAGACCTTCAGAAATGCAACTGTTCAAACCACATTTAATTTGGTACAGTAATTTTTGTATAATGCCGGAACAAATATATAAGTAGGAAGTAAGTAACCATTTCACACTCAAGTTAAAACATACTTTTAATTTTAATTTAGACCTTCAGAAATACAATTGAATGCTGAATCCAAATTTGGTGTAGTAATTTTTGCATGATGGCAAAACAAACATATAGATAGAGAAACAGACAGACAACATTATTGTTGTTTTATTTAATATTATGTTATAAATAAGTAAATATGTCCAAACATATCCATAGACAGACTGGCAAAAATTTCAAAAAAGTTTCGATTTCTATTGTTCCTACTAAGACCCTCGTATAATTTTTTCTTAAATATGTCCTATGTACATACAAACTATGTCCAGTTATAATTTTGTTAGTATATAAGTCTAATTAGATGCGACGCATGCATTTAACTAAAACTGTATCGGTGAATAATATCAAGTAGTTAAAATTATAATCACGTTACGAACCAAGGCAGCAGTTCATCTCAACTAGGTACCCACAATTTTTATATTTAAATACATGCACTCCACATAAATAAGCTTCAAGTCAGCTAATGATGTCACCTAATACAAATTCCTGGCAACACTTTGATTTGTTTTATGGTTTTTACAAAAATGCGTCAGTATTGTCTGGGTGATTCATTTTTCACAATTTTGCTAATATTTTCTGTTATCTATAATCTTTTCATGACTAAATTATCAAAATCAATCTTTTTAGATTAGATTTGTTTATTTGCCAAAACATTGTTTTTTACAGATATTGATACATTGTGAAGTACATATGTTCGCCTTATAGTCTAAAGCATGCAAAATTATTATTGGGTACAAGATACATTATGAATTTTCGTATAGAGATAGATTGAAGCTTGGAAAAAGATATAAGCTTTTTGTCACATAAACAGAACTTAAAAGCTTGTATGAGGAATCAATTTATTTCTCAAGTAAGGAATAATAATACAGGTATTATAAATCATAATCGAGTGATTTTACTTTTACTAAGAAATAACGTTTTTACATTTTTAAATAATAGGCAACTCTTTTTTTTTTATACAACTTAGAATGGAAAACAAGCTGACGGCCCACCTGATGGAAAGTGGTAACCGTCGCCTATAGACATGAGCAGTATCATGGACATAACAGAGTATACTGTTTCGCCCATGATACCCCCCATGCGTTGCCATTCCTGAGGACCCTGGGCCGTCAGCTAGTTTGCCATTCTAAGTTGAATAAAAAAAAACATAAAATATAAATAATTTTATTTTTTAAACTGCCATCAAGTATCTCTGCATATCCTAAAGGTTGACTGGTAGAGAACGCCATAGCATTATGTCCGCTTTTTGTACCACATTTCACTGATTAATAAAATTTAAATAAATAAATATATAATCATAATATACATACATAAGTGTAAAGGGATATATATATATATATATATATATATATATATATATATATATATCATCATATCAGCCTTTAACTGTCCACTGCTGAACATAAGCCTCCCCCTTGGAGAGTTCTGCCAGTAGTTGCTACACTTGGCGGGCGGGTTGGCAACCGCAGTCAGGCTTTAGACATGTTTTAAGGCACGCTGCTGCCTATCCCTCGCCTTACTAAGACCTTAAGTCTTACGACACTGTTTGCCATTCTAAGTTGCGTAAAAAAATAAAAAATAAATCTACAGCTCACTCATTGCAAGTGGTACTTCCTAGCGAAGGGAATGTGTTTAAGTATGATTTTCTAAATTCCAAGTAAACTCAATTACTGTGAAAACAGATCAAGGTCGATACCTAAGATACAGTCAGCTCCGCCATTATTCATGAACTTTCGAAATTCCTTTCAATAAGGATAAATTAATATTATAATAAAATAAGGTTTAGTTCCACAAAAAAAACCTACTTCAATCGCAAAAAAAAATAGTTATCTTCATTTAAAAAATAACTATTCAACCGATTTTGATAAAATATTTATGAGACCAGTCAAAAAGTATGTGCTTTCAAATAAAAATGATTTTTCGTTTTATAAATAATGAAGTTATGTGGTAACAAGCTGAACAAAAATAAACCATTTAAGAATATTTTAAAGTCGATTGAAAATATTAATTCGTTTGTATGTTCAGAAGTCAACATATATATTACAAATTAGGTAAGTAAACTCAAAGTATTTATTATGTTGTTATTATTTTTTTTAATAAATAAATTAATTTCCTTTATAATTTCTGTATTTACTTTATTTTATAATTTCTGCATCTTTTTAATGAGTAAACACTCATTTTATTTATTAAATAATACGTCTAGATATATTTTATGTGTAAGTATATAAGTACAATACTGATAAAAAGAAACGAGTCAGCTAATTTGGAAATTAACTGTCAAAAAGTTGACGCGTTTTTGAGGCTCGATCTATATAATCTAAGGTTTTTTCTTTACATATGGTCTAGAAATGGTAGTCTATTCCAATATCCATACAAAGGGGGGAAAAGGGATTGTTAGTAATGGAGACTAAGAATCCTATTGTTAGTAATATACCTAACCAGGTCGAACTCCTCGCGGTTCCCTCTGGAAACTATCATGGTTAATTTCTGATGAATCCATCAGGATACGCTAACCGGCCTGTTTTCATTCTCATCACCCTTCACTGGTGCTCCGCCAGCGTATCCCGTTAGCGCAGGCGGGGTTACCATACCATTTTCACCCATAAAAAAAAAATCCATACATACGACGCTTCAAGTAGGTACAGACTAATCAAAATTATTAATTATATGTTATTTAATTAACATATTTTTTAACTATTGGAAAGGGATTGTTAGCAGTAGAGTTTGACAGCCCCATTGCTAGCAATATGCCCTATTAGGTCGACCTCCACGTGGTCCCCCCTTCGTCACGATGGGCTAACTGACCTACTTCATCCTCATTTATCATCCATCACTGGTACCTCGCTAGTGTATACCGATAGCACAGGCGGGGTAACCATTCCATTATCACCCATTATATATATATATATATATATAGGGAGAGACCCATATCTGTCATGATGATAATGAATGATAGATTTCCCTCTAAATCTGACGAATTGTATAAATATTTATAGTGTATGTGCCTATGTATTGAATCACTACTACAACCTTGTACACTTAACACTTGAGTGAAACTACGAACAACCGTCATAATTCCAAGTTGAAAATTCGTAATTCTACCAAGATGTTTATTTACTATTTAATTTAATTTAATTCCGAGAAGAGAGCGCTTCAACTAGCATAAGGTATGAGTAAGCATAGATAGATTTGTTAGAGACAAAATACAACGATTGTATGATAATATTATATCAGCTTTTTAACCGTCTTTAAATAATTAAATTGTGGTTCACAAAAGAAAACCGAATTTTCTGATTCTGAATTCGAAATCAAAATATGATTTAAAATAAAAAATTATAATACTGAACAGAGAACAGTTTTCAATAAAATTTCTATTGGGTCAATCTGTAACGGGAAATCGGGAAGGGATTGTTAATAATAGGGTTTAACAGCCCCATTGCTAGCAATATACCTTATCAGGTCGACCTCCACACGGTTTCCCCTGGAAACCATTGTGGTAAATTCTTGTTGAATTCATCACGATGGGCTAACAGACCTGCTTCCAGCCTCACCTATCATCTATCACTGGTGCCC